AAAAAAAAAAAAAAAAGATGCAAAAGACCTAGGTCCTAACCCTGTTCATAGTTTTATGCGGATTACCTGGGATAATACAGATGACAGCACTTTATGCTTTATAAATTCTACACTACTCTACAGATTTCTGTAACTTCAAGGATTCCCTGTGAAACAAACTTTCCATAAATACACAGATAAATAGAAACACACGTCCGCCAGTGTGTTTTAGAAAGTAATCGTACATAAATAAGAGATGTTATTAGTATTTCTGCCAGTACTTGTACATGTTTAAGCATGAGCTGTCTCCCGGCCATATACAACAAGAACCTTCCGATCCAAATGACGTATCTATCTAGATACAGAACAAATTAGAACACATTAATTTAATGAAATTGAAGTTACTTTTTCACCCACATCTGCCCTAGGTACTACACCACAAACCTCCACTCGTTAAACACACAGGAAGAAAATAACGTGAGGTTTTTGAGAAATCAGAAAAAAAAGGTTTACTGACCGTTTTGTTCATCTACTTCCTCCTCTTCTTCCTCAAAGTTAGTTTTTAAAACTAAAGGATGGTGAATGGGTCGTGATATATTTTCCTGAGGTTTCAGAGGTTCCTGACTCTGGGTCGGGGGTGGAGTGCCTTCCTGATTTTCTTTCTGTAGCGTGATATCTACAGAAAAAACGCAACTTTGTCATCAGACCTTCCTTTACGTCTTTAAGCACGATGTTCTCTAAGTCTTTGGACATATTGGAATTAACCACTTTCTGGCTTTGTCAGCTAAGTCTAACTTCAGAGCCATCCCAAAGGCACTCTGTTGCCTCCCCTGTCCTGTCCATGGATTATACTTAGTGAAATCTATTCTCTCCCACAATGTATGGTTGGTTTTCTTTTCTCAGGGGGTAGGCATGTCCACAGTTACCCTGGGATGACCGTGGCTTTAGTAGGACTCTCTTTGTCACTTTCCCCAGGTTTCTCTGTTAATCTGTCCCCATCTACTGGTAATATACCAGATGCTAGCCTCCATTACTTGCTGGTTTATTGATCTATTGTCTTCATCGATGCACTTGGATATAAATTGCTCCATTGTTTGAGCCAATTAAGTTCTAACTCCTTTGCAGAGGTCATAGTTGAGGTCAATCTTTCAAGTTTGCTCCAATTTCTAAAGAGTTCTTGAGTTTCTTTCTTATGTTTTTGGTAAACTTCTAGCTGGTTTACAGTTTAGTTAGTTGTTCCCATACAGAGTATCAGCCTCTCGCAGAAGCTAAGCAGGGTCAGGCCTGGTGAGTACTTGGATAGAAGTACTGTTCTATACCAAATAAATTCAGTGCTCTTTTTGAGAGCTTCAGAGTTAGGCGGGCGCAATGACTCACACCTGTAATTCTAGCACTCTGGCAGGCCAAAGCAGGTAGATTACTTGAAGTCACAAATTTGAGGCCAGCCTGAGCAAGAGAGAGACCCCATTTCTACAAAAATAAGGAAAAGTAGCTGGATGTGGTGGCACATGCCTGTAACCCCAGCTATTTGGGAGGCTGAGGCAAGAGGATCCCTTGGGCAAGAGGAGCCCAGGACTTTGAGGTTGCTGTGAGCTATGACACCAGAGCACTCTACTCTATACCAGAGCAACAGAATGAGGCTCTGTCTCAACAAACAAACAAACAAACAAACAAAACATAAAAACCACCCCCAAAAAATAAGAAAAAAGAGAGCTTCAGAGTTGTCTACCCTAACAGCCTGCTTCTCTCCCGGTGTGAGAGCAAGGACCGAGCTCAGAGTAGAGACTTCTCGTGGAGTGACAGCCCTGTTTCTACCAGCATGGAACCAGAGGAGGGCAGTAACTTTGGCTTTGTGGCTTGTGTCTCCTGGCCTGAAAACTCCACCCAATGCCCAATGAAGCAAGGCTAATTGGGTTTCATTATTCTTACCCTGCGACACCCGGGATATAATTTCTGCCCTATGATGGGGCTGGGTAGAAGAAAGATCCAGACCTCTCTGCCCCACCTGCCTGAAAAACAGAGCCCCAGCAACATGGGCATGGGATTTGAAGAGGATGACAAATGTCAGCACCCTGCTGCTCCCAAGAAGCTATTATCATCCTTGACTGGGAGCTGGAGGTCAAAAGAGCCCCCCCTACCTCCCCCACCATCCCGGTCTTGGCTACAACCCTCAGAGGAGAGCTTCTGTCAGACTGAACTATAGAGGGGTAGTGAATGGAGTGACTGGTGGCTCAAATACCATAGATTTGCCGTTCTATTTGCTGTCATCTGCCCTTAGGGCAATTTCTAGAGATCTGAAAAAATTATTTTTTTAACAGATAATTTTCACCAACTTTCACCAGGGAGCAAGGCCATGGACTTCTTCACAATACCATTTTGAAAGTTATCTGATAGTCATAATTTTTTAATGCCAGTGGAATCGTTTATGGTTTTCAAATTATTCATGATATCCTAAATAAAACTCATGGATAAAATTTTGAAATGATTTTTCTTGCAATAGAATGTTATTTCCTGAGATAGTTGAAATGTAATTTAGTTCAATAACATTCTGAATATTATGTATATTTGTATCACAGAGACTGTTTCCCAGGAAACCTACACCGCATTGTTACCACTGTATGTTATTTAATGTATATAATATTTTGCATGGAAAATACATTTCATTATCCTTGTGCTTGGAAAAAAAATTTTAAAAACCAACATTATGAAATCTTCATTTCAGCTTAATAAATGTTTACTATCTTAGCAAATGTTAGAATGACATGCTAGTTTTTTGGACATTCGTTTTTAGCAATTGTCTTAGTTCATTTGTGCTTCTATTAAAAAAAAACCTGAAACTTGGTAAGATATTGTTTAGAAGTCATTCATTTATTTCTAACAGTTCTGGAGGCTGAGAAGTCCAAGGTTAAAGCGCTGGTAGGTTTTGTGTTTGATGAGGACTCTGTGCTTCCATCAGCTCCCTGAAACCTTGAACTCCTGTGTCCTTGGAAGAGACGTATTCTGTGTCCTCACGTGGCAGGAAGCAGAAGGGTAAAAGAGCAAAAGGGCCAACTCTATATGAAGCCTCTTTCATAAGGGCCTTGATCCCATGCACGTTCAACGTGAGTTTAGAGACATACGAACATTCAAACCATAGCAGTCATATATGTCTCATAAACAGTTGACAATAATTTTGATCAGTATTCATATTTCATTGATATGAGATATATTAGATACCCTCTCAATAAACTTCTAGTTTGATGGACAATAATTATCAAAGTTTATAATGTGATTATGTTGTTTTACTAAATCATATACCAATAATAATTGTATTAAAAAAAACACCATCCTAAAGTGATGTGTTAAAGAAGTGTGTTAGGGGCCAGGCACAATGGCTCACACCCATAATCCCAGCATTCTGGGAGACCAGTCTGGGGAATGTAGCATGACTATGCCTTTATTTAAAAAAAAAAAAAAGGAAATTAGCTAGCTGTGATGATGTGCCCCTATAGTTTTAGCTACTTGGGAGACTGAGGTTGGGGGACCATTTGAACCCAGGAGTTCAAGGTTGCAGGGAGCTGTGACTGCACCACTGCACTCCAGTTGGATAATAAAGCAAGACCCTGCCTCTAAAATATAAATAAAAAAACAAAAGAAGTACATTAAAGCCCATAAATCTGCATCCTGTGAAGCCTTATTATCACAGAAAGTGAAACATTGAAAAATATACATATATTTTACTACATTAATTTTAATAGATGAGCAATGAACTCATTCAAATATGAAAATATTAGATTAGGATAAAAATGTTAAGAAAGTAAAACTAAAATAGTTTTAAAGGAGGAAAAGATTTTTTAATAAAGAAGAGTTTTTGGAAATATTTATTACCTTTCTCAAATTGTGAAACATATAAGCACACACAGAAGAGTATTATAAAATGTATAATATAACCAGAATCACAAAGCCAACAATTAAATCATGAAATGACAGCATCCTAGTGTCTTCTCTCCTTTACATCACTCTCTTTCTCCAGACCTGTAATGGGTATCTTCATCCTGACTTCTGATAACAACTTTTTGATTTTTCTTATGGTTTCACTACTAAGTATGCATCACTAAAATATAAAGTTTAATTTTGATTATTTTCAAACATTTTATATGGAATAAAGCAGTACGTATTCCTCTCTGCCGTCTTTCAGTCAGTATTTTATCTGTGAAATGCATCCTGACTTGGAGATTTCCCTTATGTGTCTTCACCGCTGTATTCCATTGATTGAATGTTTGAACATTTGAATTGCTTCTAGCCTTTGGCCAGTAAAAATAATGCTGCTCTGTCCATTCTTGAACATGTATTCAGATGCACAGTGAATGTATTTCTCTAGGATATATGGTTCACGAGTGGAATTGCATGGTCCTAAGTTATAGATAGCTTTAACTGGATGCGAGTTAAATGCGAGACCGTTTTTCAAAGTGCTTGAAGAAGTTTATATATCCACTTACAGTGCATAAGAATTGCCAATGCTCCTTATCTAACAATTGCTAAAATTTCCAATTTTTGCCAATATAAGGAGTCTCTCATACCCCAAATCAGTTTCCATGGGCATTTTCCTAATTATTAATAAGATTAATCATCTTTTCATTTGCTTATTGCATTTTCATTTGCTTATTTGGATGTCCTCCTTTTCAAATGCCTGTTTGTACCTTCTGTTCATTGTCCTATGACAGCGTTTCTCACCCAGAGACGATTTTACTCCCTTCCCCCTATAAGATATTTGACAATCTCTGGATGTGTTTTTGGTTGTTACAACTGCCTTCTGGTGGGTAGAGGTTTAAAATGCTGCCAAACAACTCACAACATGTAGATGAGAGCCTCACAACAAAGACCCATCCAGTTCAGGAAGTCAGCAGTGCTGAAACAGAAACTTACTCCATCAGGTTCTCTGTCCTTTGTTGATTTGTATTCAAACATTGAGTCTTTCCTTGGAATCACATGTGCTGCAGGTGTCCTCTCCTGTGGCTTATTTTCTACTCTTTTAATAGTGTTTTTGATGGACACATATTTTAATTATAATGCAGCCACGTGATCATTTCAATTGACGCTAAAAATGCATTCAATACAATTCAACAACCCTATATGATAAAAAAAAAAAAAAACTCTCAAAAAACTGGGTATAGCAGGAACATACCTCAAAATGATAAAAGCCAGATAGGGTAATCCCACAGCTAATATCATACAGAATGGGGAGAAGCTGAAAGCTTTTCCTCAATGTGGAGCAAGACAAGGACGCCCACTTTCACCACTGTTGTTTGATATAACTGGAAGTTCTAGCTAAAGAAAGCAGGCAAGAGAAAGAAATAAACAGCGTCCAAGTTGGACAAAAAAAAGAAGTCAAATTATTTTTATTACAGAAAATATGATCTTATACTTAGAGAAACCTAAAGCTTCCACCCTAAAATTATTAGAACAGATAAACAAATTCAGGAAAGGGTACAAAGCAACACACAAAAACCAGTGGCATTTCTTTAGGCCAATAGTAAAAAGCCTGAAAAAGAAACCACAAAAGTAATCTCATTTCCAATAGCTTCAAAAAAAATAATACCTAGGAATAAACTTAACCAAACTATAGCTGAACTCATAGAATTAAAGATCTCCATAATGAAAACGGTAAAAACACCAATGAAAGAAATTGAAGAGGAC